GAGGGATGGTGGTAGGGGGGAGGGAGGAGGGATGGGTGGAAGGGGATGATGGCGAGGAAAGCGAAGGTAGGATGGGCGGGAGAAGGGAGGGAGGATGGAGGAGAGGGGGTTGACGTGGGGGGAGGAAGGAGGGAGGGAGAGGGATGGGTGGAAGGGGGAGGAAGGGAGGGATGAAAGGAGGAAAGGAGGAGAAAGTTGGGAGAGAGAGAGAAAAGAGAAAGAAAGAAAAAGAAAAAGAAAAAGAAAAAAGGAAAAAGAAAAAGAAAAAGAAAAAGAAAAAGAAAAAAAGAGAAAGAGAGAGAGAGGAGAGAAGAGAGAAGAGAGAGAGAGAGAGAGAGAGAGAGAGAGAGAGAGAGAGAGAGAGAGAGAGAGAGAGAGAAGAGAAGAGAGTGAGTGAGTGAGTGAGTGAGTGATGAGTGAGAGAGTGAGTGAGTGAGTGAGTGAGTGAGTGAGTGAGTGAGTGAGTGAGTGAGTGAGTGAGTGAGAGAGCGAGAGCGAGAGCGAGAGCGAGAGCGAGAGAGAGAGAGAGAGAGTGTGTAGATGAAAGGAGAGGATTAAAAGTTGAAACCAAAATAGTTAAGACAAAACTTTTGAGATGACTGTAACTCCTACTTCTACAAAGGAAGGAAAAATCTCCGTCCAACTTTCCTTGTTCATACTCCGAGAAAATTAATTATAGTCTCATATTCAAAGAAGAAGAAAAAAAAAACACTTGTTAGGCAAGCCATAAACCACATCTTTGGCTAACTAGAAAGAAGAATAAGAAGACGATGAAGAAGAAGAAGAATAAGACGACGACGACGAAAGATAAGAAGAAGACGACGACGACGAAAGATAAGAATAAGACGACGATTAAGTAAGAAGACGACGAAAGAAGAAAAAAATAAATCATGATAACGAGGAGAAATCACCCACAAGAAAAAAAACAAAACACGTTAAAATCGGCCATTCACAGCCGATTTCTCAATGACCGAAATCGGGAATCATTCCCTTTTATTAACATTATCAACACATTCCTTTCAAAAAAAAAAAAAAAAAAAAAAAAAAAAAAAAAATCTCCCACATAGGATTTCGTTCAGATTCCCCGCGGTTTGGGATTCCTCTCCTTTGACGTCTTCTTGAAGGATGTCCTGTGAGGAACATCAATACTTGCTTCAGACGATACTCGGGCGGGGCTGGGGGGGGGGCGGTCAAGATACGGTATGAGGAAAGCAGGGTGAGGGAGGGTTGAGGGAGGTGAGGGAGGGGTGAGGGAGGGGTGAGGGAGGGAGGGGGTGAAGGAAGGGGGGAGGGAAGGTGAAGGAGGGGTGAGGAGGGTTGAGAATAGATGTAGTTTTTAGAACCGGTGTCCTGATTTTGTTTCAATAGAATAAAAAAAGAAAGGAAAAAAAAGAAAGAAAAAATATCTATATATCTATCTATCTCTCTATCTATCTATCTATATCTATCTATCTATCTATATATATATTTATAGGATACATCGTTTCTCCGAATATTACTTATATGTATATATTATATGTTATATAATATATATATACATATATATATATAATATATACATATATACATATATATATTATATATATATATATATATATATATATATATATATATATATATATATATATTATATATTATATATACATATATACATCATACATATATTCTAATTACAGAAAAAGAGAGAAAAAAGTGACTCCCTGGCCTATTTTTAGACCAACATCCTAAAAAGAGGACCCTGGCTGCCTGCACTTGGCGCATCCTTGACATCCTTTCACACTTTACATCCGGGCTTCAGGACTGACTAAATATCCTTAGATTGAAATTACGAATTCATAAGCTCTGGAATATCTTAGATGTGAACAGCGAGGAAAGGAGCGTTTCAAACCCCGATGTTTCGAAGACTGAAACACTTACAGCCAGTTCGAGATCTGCTTCGAACCTTCTCGAAAATAATTTATTTATTGCTTTTCTTTACTCATTTTATCTTGTTGTTGTTGTTGTTGTTGTTACTAATATTGTTACTATTATTATTACCATTATCATTACTATCATTACTATCATTATTACCATTATCATTACTATTAACTATTATTTTATAAATTTTTTATATAATTATCGTTATCATAATTTTAGTAGTATCAGTACATAATAAAGAAAAAAAAGAGATATGAAAAGCTCCTCAAGAGACGGACAAACTTATAATAAAGATTTCTTAATTGCCAAAAGTCTTTAAGAAGCAAAACGCTAACAGTTTCAAAGGAAATGTTCTAGTCTTATTAATCCTCATCGCAAGCAAAGTGTTGACTTTAGCTATCTCAAATCCCGTTTTTTTTATAAATACTTTTCAAAGGATTTTCCTCTGGTTTATATCAGCTGTTTTTTTCTGTCTGTCAGTCATTGTTTTTCGTATCTATTTCTCATTATTTATCAATATTGTATTTTTCCTTTTCCAGTTCTGTTAACTCGAATACTAAGTGTTTATATAATTTGCCCTGAAAAATTATCCTTTTATTTGTTGACCGTTTTCTTACAAAAAGAGATGAAAATGATATAAAATATTATGTGGGAATCATTTTGGGTAGATTCTGATTGCAGATAAATAGGTGATGGAACAGGAGCGACATTGTAAGGTCACTGATAAAATACCTAAGCCTTTACTGAGAAAAGTCCGCCAGTATCTCTTTAAAAACCTCTTATCTCGATTCTTGGAAAGCTTCATTCGTATATTCCGTTATGTATCGGAAACCTTTAGACACAATTATTTATAACAACTTATCGGAAAATTGTGTTCTGAAAAAATAAGAAAAATCCTCTAAAAGGAAAAGACAACGAAGATATAAACAAAAGACTGCTGTCCCTAGCGATTGCGCGCTTCCCGCAGATACAAAGGGATAAGGACTCAAAACCCTTTTCGTGTATTTTTAGAACAGCATCTAGTCTAAATCCTTTAAGTATGGCTATTTTGAGAAAAGGTTACCTATGGGCGTTATCTAAGACCCGAAGACGTAGTAAAGAGGATTTTGACGGTGATTCAGGTAATAAAAAAGATGCTTAGGAAGATATGGGCGCTGGAGCAGTCACAGAGGGATCGTGATGATAATAAAAACATATTTAATATTGATAAATACTACAGGTTTTCACATAAACTAATGAGTTGCTTTTACAGAAAGGTGCAGGGCAAAGGCGCAAAGTTAACACACATAACATATTCACAAATGAATGTCATAAGATCTCATTTATAAATCGCTTTGATAACATTTCGATACTAAAAGATCTTCACAAAGTTTACATTAATTGCGTGTCAACTAAGAATCGACTTCTTTAAAAGTTGTAGTACTAAGGACTACTGATATAATTTTTTTTTCTAAAGTAATTGTCGAAAGGATAATAATAGTAATGATAATAACACTAATGATAAGAGCAAGTAATAGAAGTAGTAGTAATAGTAATATATGTAATAATTAATATTAATAATAATAATAATAATAATAATAATAATAATATTAATAATAATAATAATAATAATAATAATAATAATAATAATAATAAGGATAATAATAATAATGATGATGATAATAATAATAATTATAACAATAATAATGAGAATAGTAATAATAATCATAATAAGAATAATAACAATAACAATAATAATAACAACAACAATATTGGTAACAAACAATGACAATGGCAAAAGCAGACACAACAGTACACGCCATTATTCTGTCGCAAAAGTCATGCTCGAATTTCAATTAAAAAATCCGTTTTATATTCATACAAAACATCGTCACCATTGTATACATTCCATGCCCCCAAAAGACACGGTTTTACTTCCTTGTACCAGTAAAAAGAGAGATGAGAAAAAAAGAAAAATAGGAAGAGAAGAAGGAAAAGAAGGAGTAGGAGAAGAAGGAGAGGGAGAGAGAGAGAGAAAGAGGGAGAAGAAGGAAAAAGAGAAAAAAACAAAGAAAACCAAAGACAAGAAATGAGAGTTAAAAAGGTAAAGAAAAAAGAAATACACGTATGGCTACACCAGTTTTATTCGTTGCTTCTCGGACTCGCTGCTTCATTTTTTTTCATTAAAAAGGCCGGACCAGAAACCACCATAGGTTTTTCTTTCGCAAACCTGTAAATATTGCCACTATGAGAGACACGTGCTGCCGGAAACCAATCAGAGAGCTTCTTTGTAGTCACATGCTAGAGGACAACCAATCAGAGAGCTTCTTTGTAGTCACGTGCTAGAGGACAACCCAATCAGAGAGCTTCTTTGTAGTCACGTGCTAGAGGACAACCAATCAGAGAGCTTCTTTGTAGTCACGTGATAGAGGACAACCAATCAGGAAGCGCCTTGTCTTTCAAAACAATTTGGCGCCTTAGAAGGTTTTGTTCTGTGCTGGTGTCCGCCCCTCTAAACTCTAGAACTAAACTAAACTTATATTCTTAAACTATAAGTTGAGTTTAGTTTAAAGTTTAGTTGTAGAGTAGCTTAAAGAACATGCAGACAGTAGAGCAGATCGATGTCTTCTTCGTAAAGCTGAGAGTCTGCATGCCAAAGAAGACAAAATGCCAGTAGAAAGGGACTCGAAAAAGCAAACTTTGGTTATTATTATTATCATTATTATTATTTTTTGGCCGAGTTGCTTTTTAAATGTTAATGTAGCAAAACAATAATTACAGTAATAGTAGAAAATACAACACACGTAAATTCAGTCAAAAACAATGTTCTTTATTCGGAATTGTGGTAATAGATCAAAGGACGGAATTCATTACATAAAACGTGCCTTGAAAATTTGAATAATCGTGCTATTCTTTATTTTCTGTAAGCCCTTTATCTTTAACCCAGACTTTTTGAAAAATTTATCTTCATTTTTTCCCGCCCTTTCACTCCACTTTTTCCCGAAAAAAAAACGAGAAGCAACAAACAAAATTGGCATGTCAAAAAAAAAAAAAAAAAAAAAAAAAAATCGTTGCAGTACTGAGCCTTAAAGCGAGCATCGGGAGGAAGTGTCAGCATCTGTCAGCATCCGTCAGCATCACCATCAGCCTCGTCTTCGGGCAGGAGCGAGATGACGGAATTTTCCCACTTTCCCTCGTGATGCAACTTGCAACACAGAAAAAGGGAAATTCAAGCCAAGGAAGTACTCAAGATTTTATTTTGGTTCTCCTTTTCTTTTCTTTTGTTCGTGTATTGATATTATTATTATAATAATGATGGTAATAATAACAATAGTGATAGTGATAGTGATAATGATAATAATAAGAATGAGAATAACGATGATAATAACAACAATTGCTATCATTGTCATTACTGATTCATCATTATTATTGTCTTATTATCATTAAAATTTCCATAATTTTTATTACCATTAAAACCATGACTATTACTGCCATTTTTTTTCTAATCATTATCATTATCATTATACCAGTATCTTACAATCGACTACTAACACTACTATCATCATTATCATCACCATCATCACCATCACGAGCATTATCATCATCCTCATCACCCCGTTTCTATGCCTTTGTCATGTCTTCTCTTCTCCTTTCTTTCTCTTTCTTCTGCGTCTTGCTCTTCTGTTGTTTTTTCTTTCTCTCTTTTTTGCCAATTACGAGAGAAAGAACTAAATAGAGGGAAATAGAGAAAGAGAGATAGAGAATGAGAGGGAGGGAGGGAAGGAGGAGGGGAGGAAGGGAGGAAGGGAGGGAGGGAGGAGGGAGGGAGGGAGGGGAGGGAGGGAGGGGAGGGAGGGAGGAGGGAGGGAGGAGAGGGAGGAGGGAGGGAGGGAGGAGGAAGGAGAGGGAGGAGGAAGGAGGGAGAAGGAAGAGGAAGAAGGGAGAGGAGGAAGGAAGGAAGGAAGGAAGGAAGGAAGGAAGAAAGAAAGAAAGAAGAAAGAAAGAAGAGAAGAAAGAAAAGATAAGAAAGAAAAGAAAGAAAGAAAGAAAGAAAGAAAGAAAGAAAGAGAGAAAGGAAAAAGAAGAAAAGAAAGAAAGAAAGAAAGAAAGACGAGAGAGAGAGAGAGAAAGAGAGAGGAGAGGGAGAGAGAGGAGAGAGGAAGGAAGGGAGGGAGAGGGAGGGAGGGAAGGAGAGCAGGAGGAGGAAGGGAGGGAGGGAAGAAGGGAAGGGAGGAGGAGGAAGGAAGGAAGGAGGAAGGAAGAAGAAAAAGAAAAAGAAAGCAAGAAAGAAAGAAGAAAGAAAGAAAGAAAGAAAGAAAGAAAGAAAGAAAGAAAGAAAGAAGAAAGAAGAAAGAAAGAAAGAAAGAAAGAAAGAAAGAGAAAGAAAGAAAGAAAGAAAAAGAAAGAAAGAAAGAAAGAAAAAGAGAAAGAGAGAAAAAAGAGAAAAGAAGAAAGAGAGAGAGAGAGAAAGAGAAAGAGAAAAGAGAAAGAAAAAGAAAGAGAAAGAGAAAAAAAAAAGAAAAAGAAAAAGGAAAAGAAAAAGAAAAAGAAAAAGAAAAAGAAAAAGAAAAAGAAAAGAAAAAGAAAAGAAAAAGAAAAAGAAAAAGAAAAAGAAAAAGAAAAAGAAAAAAAAAAAAAAGAAAAAGAAAAGAAAAGAAAAAGAAAAAGAGAAAGAGAAAGAGAAAGAGAAAGAGAAAGAGAAAGAGAAAGAGAAGAGAAAAGAGAAAGAAAGAAAAGAAAGAAAAGAAAAAAAAGAAAGAAAAAAAAAAGGAAAAAAGTGAAAAAGAGAGAACGAGAGAAAAAAAACAAATCAAGAGCAACAAAACAAAGACAAAGAGAATGAGAAAAAGCGAAAGAGAAAGACAGACAGACTAACCAGACAGCCAGGAAGGCCCACGCGCGCGCCACAGAGGCAGCATCTCGTTCCCAGCATCCAGGTCTGAGCTGTGTCCCCGCGCATCTCAACGCAAATAGCCTGTAAAGCTTAATTTAGCATGGAAGGCCAGGCGCAAGTAGCCCTTTTGATCCTCGTGCTTCTGCCTTTCCCTTTTCAATCGCTTCGCCTTTTATGTGTCTTCCTTTCTTGTTTTTTTTACTGTCTCTTTTTTTTATTGTTTGTTTGGTTTTTGTCTTTTTTGTGGTTTTTGTTTTTTTCTTTATCTGTTCTTTTTATGGTTTGTGTTTCTTTTATTCATTTTTCTTTCTGATTTTGTCATTCTTCACTTTTTTTCTTTATTGGTTTCCATATTCTTTTAACCGAATTTTCCTTTTCGTTTTTTTCTGTTTTTTTCCTTCTGTCCTTTTCTTTTTCGTTCACTTTTCTCTCTCTTTCTCTTTCTCTCTTTCTCCTCTGCCTCCGCCTTTATCTCTCTCTGCTTGTGTCCCTTTGCGATTTATTTCTGAGAACTGAAGTAGATGAAGCAAAAAGACGGAAAAGAGGAGACAGAATAGATGAAATGTAAAGAAAAATTTAATAAAAAAAGAGGCAAGAGGGAGATGGAAGAGGGAGAGAGCGAAGGAAGAAAAAAGAGAACCGAAGTTGACGAAGCAGAGACGAAGAGGGATGAGGAGAGAGGGAGATGAAAGAGGAAGAGAGGGGACGAAGAATAAGTGAAAAAAAGAGAATGAATATGGAAAGGAAGAGATAGAGAAGGGTGGATGACGAATAAAAATGATGAACCGGTTAATGAATAAAGTGGATATGCAAGATAAGATAAGAAAAGAAAAAAAGAAAGATGAAGATAAAAGGAAAGAGAATGGGCGAATAGAATAAATAAGGTGGATCAAATGGGTGAAAAAATGGAAGATGGAAGAGAAAACAGAAGAAGGAAATAAGAAACAAGAAGAGAATACGATGTAAAAAAAATAGAAGGTCGGGAAGGAAGGACAGAAAGAAAGAAAAAAATAGCCCAGAATAAAGGAAGAGGAATAATGCAAAAAGAGGAATAAAAAAAAAGACAATAAAAAAAATATATATAAAGACAACCAACAACTATCCAAATAAAATGAATAAAAAAAATTCTTTAAATAAGCTCTGATGTTGATTACTAAATATTTTAAGTACCTTCCAGGAGAACGGAAAGAAGAAGAGGAAGAAGAAGAAGAAGAAGAAAACAGATATACACACAAACCAAGATCCAAAAATCAACGGAAAAAGTCATACTAAAATTGATAATAATACTAATAAAACAAATTAAAATAAACAAAAAACAAAAAAAAAACAATAACAACCCTTCTTTCCTTAATCTTACCCATCATTAACCCTTGACCCTTGACTGACCCCTGACC